TTGAACTTTCCTAAATGTCTCAAGGATGTCCTTTTCAGCTTCCTCCTTCTTTGTTTGCATAAACCTACTAGGAAAAGGAGCATTCGAAGGAAAAACATTAGTAGGAACCGAATTTGACACATTCTTACCTTTATTGGCCGATTTGGACAGATTGGGGACATTACTTGCGGCCGTGAGTGGGCTTGCTTCCTCCTCTTCAAATTGAAGTTTTTCATCCTCTTTGTGACCTGTTTTTTATGAAGAACCTGCCCCAACCTCCTTACCACTTCTTAGGGTGATTGCTTTGGCTGATTCAAACCCTCCTTTTGGATTTGGAATGGTAGAACTAGGAAGCCTTCCTTGGTCTCGAATCTGTCCAACAACCTCGGCAATCTGTCCCATTTGTTTCTCTAGTTGGTCCACCCTTTTGTTTTGATTTTCCTGCCCATTAGTCAAAGTGGTTAGTAACTTAACAAGTGTATCATTATCCAAAGCATTACCTGAAGTATTTGGGGCAGATTGTGGTTGGACTTGAGGGGGTGCGTATGGTTTGTTGTAGAAGCCCGGGGGTTGTTGCCTAAAGCCTCCTTGTGGTTGGGCTTGTTGTGGCCTCTCCATTTGAAGTTTGGATGGTCTCTCCACCCCGAATTATACATGTTGGAATATGGATCATGTCTTGGCTGATTTTGGCTTTGAAACCCAATGGCATTAGCGCTCTCCCATCCACCATTCTCAATGAGTTGAGGACACTTTTTGGATGCATGTCCTTGGATAGAACATACGCCACACACCATGGGTCCTTGAATCTTCATTCCCTCGGCCATCTGTGAAACAAGAGAAGTAAGATTAGCTAACTGAGATTGAATATTGGAAGTGGAACTTACCTCATGCACTTGTTGCCGTGGGGGTCCTCTTTGGCCTACACCTTCGTATTGTTGAGCGTTCAACGCTCGATTAGCAATCAAGATTTTTGCAGCTATGGGCGTTTTGTTTACCAATGCTCCACCCGCCGAGGCATCGAGCATTTGACGTTCTAGTGGTAGGAGCCCTTCGTAGAAGTATTGCAAAAGCAACTCCTCCTTCATCTGATGCTGTGGACAAGAAGCAACAAGTGATTTAAATCGTTCATAATATGTAGGAAAAGACTCACCTTCATCTTGTTGAATTCCACTTATTTTTTTACGAAGAAGAATGATGCGAGAAGTTGGGAAAAACTTCTCCCGAAACGCCCTCTTCATACTCTCCCAAGATGTAACTGTACCGGGAGCCAACTCGTACAACCAATCCTTGGCTTTGTCCATTAAAGAGAATGGAAAAGCCTTCATCTTTAAAATACTTCCGTCAACGGTAATCGGAGTCATACTTGAGCACACCACTTCAAATTCTTTCAAATGTTTGTTCGGATCCTCCATGGACAGCCCATGGAACTTTGGAATGTGGTGGAGCAAACTTGACTTTAACTCGAACTCTTCGGTTTTACCTTGAGCAGCCATGGGATATTGGATACACAATGGTGCGGCATTATCCAAACCCGAGGCGGCAAGCTCCTTGAGCATACGGTTGTCCATGGCTATACCTTGCTCTTTTCCACCCACTTGTGCCGTGGGATCCTCCTTGTGCTGTTGGTTCCTCCTTCTTCTCAAAGTTCTCTCGAAGTCGTCGTCAAAGTCCAAAATATGCTCACGAACAGGTCGGGAACTTCGAGTCATGCACTAGTACCTAAAAACAAAGAAACAAAACAAATCAGCAACATAAATAGAAACTTAAACAAAATACAATAATTCGAAAGAAAACAATCCAAGAGATTAGCAAAGTTCTAATCCCCGGCAACGGCGCCAAAATTTGATGTGAGAAATAAGTTAACACACAAAATTAAACCCTCTTTTTATCAATTGTAGCAAAGTATGTAAGTAGAGATCGTTCTTAAACCGGGGATTAGGAGGGATTGCTAAAACACTCTAAACTGACTCAAATCTGTGAAACGAAGTTTAAAAATACGAAACTAGACTCAAAGAATGCAAAACTAAACTCTAAAACACTAAAACGAACCAAAAGAATCAAAACAGCAACCAAACACTCAAAACTGCCTAAAAACCACTTTCTGGGCAGTTTTGAACACAAAGCATCAAATTGGACGAATTTGGGTTTTACTTGTACCAAAACACTTAAAAACATAACCAACACACTTTCCAATTAATCTAGGAATTCAAAATAATTGGGGATTTGATTTGGACGAAAATAAACTTAAATGACAAATTGTAAGAGAAACATATTGTAATACAAAGTTATGAAGAATCAATGGATGATGGAATGGCTAAGGGGTTCTTCTCCACACATGAAATATATGCAACGTAAATCAATTTCCAGTTATCAATTCAATAAGTTATGAACCTCAACACTCCAAGTTAATTAGGTCCGCTTAAATTAACCTTCAGATTTCCCTAGGATCATTGAATTGGATGAATATGCATTGCAAACAAATTATTCCTAACAAGTTCTTTATATGAACAGCATGATAAAGACACAAGTTAGAATCATTACGTTCTTTGGAAATCATAAGCATCGACAAGGCATTCGTAACTATGAAAAGCATGATACTCTTGCCAGGAATCTACTTAACACGATCGTGACTAGCGACCTTCACTACTTACGAATATAAATTCATAACGATTAGGTGAAACAAATTTATATCCTAGCATCAAATTCAAGCATGCAAATTAAGCGCACTCTCAATCAACATACAAGAATAAGTTCTAAAATGGTTAAGCAAATTGTATTCACGACTTATGTAACAATAACTGGAAGTAATCAACTCGTTTCACATATATAATCATGGTTTTGAATACACCCTTAGCCAAAAACGAAATTAGCCAATCATACTTAAAGCAAAACAAAGATTACATGAATTAGACATTAAAATCCAAAGAAAGAAAACACCTAGAATGCTCCAACTTGGCAGCAAGTGCATCCAAGATTCCTCATTTCCCTTACTTGCGGCAGATTGGGTTATGGACTGGTTTTGGGTAGTTTTATGGTGTAGAATGGATGGGGAATGGTATGGAAAGGTTTAGGGTGAGTGTGGAGGAGTGTTTGATGGTTGGAGGGTGGTAGAGAACTCGGCAAAGATGGTGGAATAAGGTGGAGTGACTGTTATGTTTTCTGGGCACTAGAATGGTGTTTTTGGGGTGTTTTGCTGCCTAGGGTGAGTATGGATGAATTTTCTGCATGAATGATGAATATGGGAGGTTCAACCCTTTGCCAAGGGTTGTAAACATGTATATATAGGCCCCAAAAACCCTAGAGAATCAGATTAGGCAGTGGGGGAAATGCACAGCAAGGAGGGTGAATTTGTGGTGTGCAATGGTCCAAGGATGAAAATGGAGCAATGATGCAAAGTATGGAAGGTAAAATGGAGTGGTATTTCAGCTAGGGAGCATGAATGATTGTGTTCATTGCATGGAAATGAAAAGGGGAGGTGAAATGTTTCAGAAATTAGTTAAAGGTGCAGCAACATGTGTTGCACAAGGCATTGGATCCCAAATGTGGATGATGGAGCATCAATTGGTGCATGGAATGGTTGTGAAATCTGATGGGTGAAGGGAACAAGAGGTATGCAGCAATTGAGTGTGATAATTGAGTGTATTGAGGCATGAAATCAGAAATATTTTAGGGGACAAGGATGATTAAGCATAAATGGGAATCCAAAGGGAATGCTATGTGGATTGCATGGCAAGGATGTGTGTTCTTTTGTCGCTGAGTTCATGATCCTTTGTACACTAATTCTTCACACTCTTAGCCTCTTTAAGTCTTTAATTTCGTCCAAACCTTGGTTCCAAATATGTGACATGCATTCCAAGCTCCATTTTGCTCCAATATGCTCCAAAATGCATCTTCTTGCCTACTTTGTCCTTAAAATCTGAAAACACATGAAAATGACTTTAAACATTAAAATAACTAAGGAAACACGACATAAATGCACAAGAACAAGCCAACTAAGTCGCATAAATATGCTCCTATCAAAGAATTAAACCTCATGGCTTATTTTGTAAATATCCCCAAACTTTGTGTGAAATGCAATTAACCCTAATTTTCTCCTAGTTCGGATATTCTGATGATGCAATTTTTAAGGGAGTTCACAAAGTCAAACTGTTGTTAGGTGGGAAGCTGAGAAAATATGAAGGTAAAAGAGTTCGACATTGATGAAAGGAAAAACCTTGTAAGAGTTTATGAGAGGTCAAACTACTCCCTATATTGCTAATTAGTTTTATAGTGCAACCTTAACTTTCTTCATAAGCCAAATGCTAAAAGGAGAATGCATGCAGAGCATAACTTGGTCTTTTTTCCCATTTACGTCCAATTTTTCATGGTCACTCTTTTCTTCTGAAATATGGATACATTTTGGCGTTTGTTTTCTTCTCAGTTGTTCTTCATTTGTTTATAAGATATATAAAAAAGAGGGAAAACTGATATTGGGGGGTGAATATGGGAGAAGGATGCGAGTGCATTGTTTCGTAAAAAAAGATAAAATCTTAATCCCTTATCGTTAATTCTGTGTTGAACGGTCAAGAATGAAGTATCTTATCATATATTTAGATTTTATAACAAATGATTCTTTATGCTTTGGCAACTCATCAGTTTGGTCATTGATCTAGTGCTTTGGTCATCAAAGTTTCCAATACAGTCTACTTCCGTTAGAAAATCAGTTAGTGTGGTGATTTGGCTGATCTATAACACACTACTAAGACAGCACCACATTTATCACAGTTAATTCACCACGGACATAAAAGACACGTTGTAGAATATCGAATATTACCACGGACATTTAAAGTCCGTTGTGAGTAAATAGTTTTAACAACGGGCAAAATTGGCCCGTAATAGAACATGTTAGAATAATAACGCGCAAGTAAAACTCGTTGCAGTTATTTGATATAACCACGAGGGTAGCCCGTTGTTGAAATAAATTTAATTACAGCGCCTTCTTGAAATCAATCACGGTATATGAATGTTGTAGGTTAATTTACTTAATATTACTCTCAAATTTGTTATCAGAACCAACTCTATCTTAAACCCAATCTATATACCAATTCCAGATCTGATACCACCAACCACCCAGTCTCACCCATTCGCTTCCTTCGACGGTTCATCTGAAATCTCCAAACTACTCATTTCTCTCTCCAAAGCCCCCGCCCCCCTCTTCTTCGAAATCGCAACCATCTTCTATCCGGCGCCCACACAAGAACTCGTCACTGACGCAGAGCCCGCCGGAAGCTTTCTCTAGAGAACAACATGTCGGTCGTCGTCCCCATGGCCTCGCCCAGTCGCTGGCTCGACTTGGATGACCAGCCATTCCTCAATTCCAGGATTAGTATGTCTCTCGATTTCTTTGTAAAGATATTAAAATTTAATTCCGTTTATTGAAATGATACCGTGATTATTCTGCAATTAAAGTGTAATTATGAATAAGTATGTTTTTTACAATTCAATTTTGGCTAAATGTGATAAAGATGAAAGCTTTACTTAGTTTTGGTTCAATACGATAAGGTGCAAGAGAAAGGGATATGTTGATAACTAGGAGGCAAGCATGCCTTCTCCAAGCATGACCAAGCATAGAACGAGCAGTGTGAAAATTTTCGGGGTCGAATTGTGCCCTGACAATGTCGCTGTTGCCATGGTATTTTGTTCAAGGTGTCCTAGGCCTTGCAGGGCTTGCTGTCTGTTTTTAACTTTCCATTTAAAAGACGATTTGCATCTCGACCTGGCTGAGGTACATTTACATTCACACTTTCTGTTATTTTTTGGAACTGGTTTGCTTTACATTTGTAGCTGTAGTTATTAAAAGTGGCATTCTTGATGAATTGTGAACTTAAATTGACGTTTGTTTCCACTGATTGGTAAAGAATTTGCTTTGAGAATGCTGATTAGTATGAAAATGGTGCTAACCGGGGTACGATAGTGGGATTCTAGCTTTGAATTACTGATGTGAGACATTGTTTTTCTTTGATAAGTGAATTGTTTGTATAGTTTTGGTTTCTGACAAATTTATATGTGAAGGATCTCCCTCAATTGGTCCCGCTCTCATTTTCAATTTTGATGTCCTCGAACACTCAACGATGCTATCTTTGAACCTATTTTTGTTTGTTTTCCTAATTTTTTGGCATTTTGTAGGCGAACTGCTATTATAGTGACTAATAGAAGTAGAAAGAAGGAACAAGGGGTTGAAATTTGGCTAATTCTGCCAATATAGATGTTTTGCAAGTGGCTGGGTTTTGCTAGTTTAAAGGTCTAATGCTTCTTTTTCTTTTACTATTGCTTTTGTTAATTCAGGGTTATTAAACATATTACAATTTGCAAGTTACTCTTGAATTATTAAGCTTTCATTTAAAAATAAATAAACCAAGGAAGGAAAAACAATGAATTGAGGTATATTTGATATGTATGCTATTTTGCACTACAGTGAATCGTACAGATCAATTAAATTCTAGGTGGCGAATCTTCACCATTGATGAAATTGTGATTCTATGTTTAACTTCTACAGGTGCGTCCTCTGTATATTTCTATAATTTCAATTTCTGAAATATCTATTGTTTATTAGATTTTACTTTCGATATGGTCACTATTGTTTATGGTTTATAAAAAGATAAAATCTATGTTTATGGTATTGGTTTGGTTAATCTTGTATAGTATATATTTGCAGAATTATACGTAGTGGCTCTATTTAGTAGGTTCATAATCTAATCATGTGTTTTATCTTTTCTCAAGGACTCCTCTTATTATAATTTTGTCAAGAGTTCAATTGCAAAGGAATGCATGAGTAGAAAGGTTTAGAGGCAGAAACTCTATTCACTTTTCTTGATTGAGATCAAATGTATATTTCCACCTATACGAGTACCAAGCTTTTTTTTCTTGTGATCCATATGCTTTTGTCCATGCAAATAGAGAGTCAGCAATTGTTGAGGCTCAAGTATTAGGGGCAATAGTTCACTCTCAAGGTCCTTTGTTTGGAGATGTTCAAAGAAATCTGAAGTCTTTCAAAGTGTTCTTGTTATTGGAGGCATATTTGATACTTTGTGGATAGTTTGGTATTTCTAGTATAACTCATCGTTAGCTGTAGTGTGCAGTTTGTAATATTTGATTTTGCGATTTGTTTATGTAATTATTATATTGTAGTAAATTTGTTTATATATTAAATTATTTATTATTATTATTTTTTTATTTTTGGAAATTTTTTTATGACGGTCATTAGCCGTGGTCAATTTGTAATTCACAACGGCTATAATGAATGTGGTGTTAGATCACAATCTACCACGGGCACAATCCGTGTTTATTTCACATTTGACAACGGGCATAGTCCGTGGTAGAAACTAAGACTTTCTATCACATCCAGATTACTAACGGGCACAGTGCCCGTGGTGGATTGCAATCTATCACGGGCATTGACCGTGGTAGATGAGCTTTTTTCTACTAGTGACAGATGGCAGAGCTAATTGAAGGACAACTCGGAATACACAAAACTGGGAGCTAGATTAGTGTGGCTGTTTGGTGTCAAAACGGGGCTTGCAATATGTCGTTTGGAATAGCACGACGCAAGGAACAAGACTTGCCAGCTTTGCTCGTGACATAAGGGCAATTTCGGCCAAAAACCTACATTTACTATCCAAATATGCGTTTTAAGTTTTAGGGATACTTTTGGAACTTTGTTAATTGTTTGTTTTTTTCTTTCATATTTGAACCTTAAGTCCTATTAGGGTCTCGAACGTATAAATATACCTTCTTGGTATAGGGTTAATTTGTTACCTTTTTCATATTAATTACACCAAATGTGTTGTGGTCTATTTTTATCTGACAGAGAGACTAGGGCCGGCGGCAGAGAGAGAGAGGAGAGAGATGTGTGTTTGTAGAATTGTAGGGGAATGTATGTGTTGTTATCCCTCCTACATTGTGCCTTTATTTATAGTAGTAAAGGCAGAGAAGATATTCCTTCTCCTCCAAGTAATACAAGTTGTAATAGGAAAGGATAACTAGAATCAAATCTAATCTAGGATTTACACAATCATACTTATTCTAGGAATGTTTACAACACTCCCCCTTGAGTGTGCAAATACTTAAGGTAGATTCAGCATCATGCAGAAGTTGAGGAAGTCGACTTGTCAGCATTGATTCCAAGGAACAACGCTTATTCTCAATAAGGTAGGAACTTGCATAAGTAGTAAGTCTCACTAAAAAACCCTAAGGCTATGACAAAAACCCGAGTAGGGACAAAATCCATAGTCTAAGGAAAAATGCGTGAGAAATGCAAAGTCAAAAGAAACGTCTACAGGACGTCATCAGGGATATGACCAGCCCAATGTGGGTGCCTCGTTAAAACCTAGTTAGGTAGCAAAAACCCAGTGGGAAAATGCTCCTAATCGTAGGGAAAAAGAGTACATTAAGATCAAGCAAGTATCCAGAAGATACTCCCCCTGAGTTTGACATAATTACAAAGAGAAATAGCAAAGTTACAACTCAGAAAGTTTACACATACCAATTCCATGAACAAGTTTCTGAAACGTCGCCTTCGGTAGTGATTTGGTGAAGAGGTCGGCCAGATTGTCTTGTGATTGGATTTGCGTGACTTCAATCTTCTGATGCTCTTGTTGTTGATGTGTGAAGAAGAACTTCGGCGCAATATGCTTGGTGTTGTCTCCTTTGATGTAACCCTTCTTGAGCTGTTCGATGCAAGCTGCGTTGTCTTCAAAAATCGTCGTCGGGGCATTAACGACGGGATGAAGATCACAGGAGTTTCGAATATGGCCCATTACTGCTCTCAACCAAAAGCATTCCCTAGTTGCTTCATGTAAGGCGAGAATTTCAGCATGGTTAGACGAAGTGGCAACTAAGGTCTGTTTAGTTGACCTCCAAGATATTGCGGTGCCTCCAACGGTAAAGACATAACCCGTTTGAGAACGTGCCTTGTGCGGATCAGATAAGTATCCAGCGTCGGCATAACCAACAAGGCGAGAATCAACCCGATGAGCATAGGGTGCGGCATCACTCGAGGATTCGTAGGGATAGAATAAGCCCAAATCCGTAGTACCCTTAAGGAAACGGAAGATGTCTTTCACGCCAGTCTAATGTCTGCGTGTTGGTGTATTGCTGTATCTTGCCAAAAGATTAACAGCGAATGAGATGTCGGGTCTAGTGCATTGAGCTAAGTACAATAAAGCACCTATCGCACTTAGATAAGGAACTTCAGGTTCCAAAATCTCTTCATCATCCTCCTTCGGACGGAAGGGATCTCGCTTTGCATCTAGCATACGAACGACCATAGGAGTACTCGAAGACTTCGCTTTATCCTCATTAAAACGGCGCAGCACCTTCTGGGTGTAGTTCGATTGATGTACTAAGATTTCATCCGAACAATGCTCTATCTCGAGACCGAGATAGTATCGAGTCTTACCTAGATCTTTCATCTCAAATTCCGACTTCAGGTGCGAAGCAGTTCTCGCGAGCTCTTCAGGAGTTCCGATGAGATTCATGTCATCGACATATACTGCAACAATCGCAAATCCGGAATGTGACTTCTTAATGAACACACAAGGGCATAGTTCGTTGTTCACATATCCCTGACTAGTCAAATACTCACTCAGACGGTTATACCACATTCTTCCGGATTGTTTCAAACCGTATAGTGAAGGCCTCAGCCGAATTGAGAGCGTGTTCCGGGGTTTGGAAATATTTGAACCAGTCAATGTAAGTCCTTCGGGAACTTTCATATAAATTTCCGTATCAAGATCCCCATAGAGATACGCGGTTACTACGTCCATCAGCTGCATATCCAGTTTTCAGAAACTACCAAACTGAGGGTGAGTAAGTTTCGTCATAGTCAATCCCGGGGCATTGTGAGAAACCTTGTGCTACAAGACGAGCTTTGTAACGCACAATTTCGTTCTTCTCATTACGCTTCCGAACGAAAACCCACTTGTAGCCAACGGGCTTCACATGTGGAGGAGTAGGAACTACAGGTCCAAACACCTTACATTTCGCAAGTGAATCAAGTTCGACTTGGATTGCTTGTTTCCAGTTTGACCAATCAGCTCTACGTCGACATTCATCAACGGAACGCGGTTCATTGTCATCGCTCAACATGATCTCAGTAGCTATTGCAAATGCTAATGCATTGTCGACAATCATCTCATTTCTACGCCACACATCATCTAAGCTAGCATAATAGACCGAAATCTCACGATTCTTGGGAGGAGGATTCGTCTCTTCAAGGACGCTTCCATAATCTAGAATTTCCTCATGAGTTGGGTAAAATGAGTAAGCGATAGTCGGATTCACGGTAGGCTCTTCAGGACCTTGTGCCGTGGTTTTCCTCTTCCGGGGGTGTGAATCCTTTGAACCAAGGGGTCTGCCACACTTTTGTGTAGGGGCAGAGGATTGGCTAGCCACTAATATACGTGGATCACCAGAATTGGTGTCCCGGGCTTCCAGAAGGGTAATCCGTCGTACATTTGGTACATCTATCTTTGCAGGCGTATTCGCAGCTGGAATATGTGATCTTGTCACGCGCGCTAGATCGGTGAAAGCATCTGGCATGCTCTGAGCTATGCTCTGGAGATCTAATATGCGCTGCACTTCAGCTTCAGACTGAGCGGTGCGGGGATCTAAATGAGACAAAAAAAAATTAGTGGGGGCATCCGCCCCCTCTGAGCCTAAGGCGGCTCCGTCCGTGCTACAACAAATCACAAAATTAATAGTAGTATATCACAATTTTATCACCACAATTTATTAAATAAAATAAACCAAGTAAGATAATACTTATCTTTTGTAGGTAACGCTCTTCGTCGATCCTTGATTTGAATAAGCTTTTAGGTTGAGGCATGTTGTCATTGCTCTTAAGAGTAGATTTTGCCCCTCTAAGATAATGTTTCGGTGTAACAGGTTATGGTGCCCTACCCTCCAAGTTACAACAACCTATAATCCTTCCTTTGGCATATAAGAGGTTAAATTATAATAGCATTTGAGGAGAATACAAGAAATCAAAAGAGGAGAGGAAGGTGGGATTCCTTTCAACTAGGTGAGGTTTGTAGGAAAGAAAATATTTGAAGTTCAATACCAAAAATATATTGTACTAAAAACAAAAAAAAACAAAAAAAAAAAGAAGCAAAGGAGTAGTCTAGGTAAAGATCAACCATAATCCTCACGGCTTGAAGAGTTGGTTTTACATAGAACATGAGAAAAGTAAACATGATTAAGCATGGTCTGAAAATGTTAGACTATATAATTGCCCAATTAATGGGTTAATCAAGATGACATATTTAAAGAGAAAATCTAATTTATAGCCCCAATATTATAACCCGCTTTAATGCATTAGTTTTTGGTTTGCAAACAAAACTGAAATTGAGATTAGAAGAAATCATTAAGAATAACATGATCAATGAGGGGTTGTATATTGAAATACCCGATCAAAAATGCCAACAACTGCATGTAGTATATAATCTTTTTATTTCTACATGTCTTAGAACTTGTTATGGTGATAACTCATAATCGTGTTTATATATCTTTGCTTTAGGTATATAATTGTCTTGGTATCTTTATTGAAGATAGATCGAAAGCTATCTATCTGTTAGGCAATTAGATGAAGATGTTAAGTAAATATTTTTCATAGATATAGACTCTCCAATTCAACCCAAAAAAAATGTTTTAAACATCAATATCATAGGTAAATCATTTGTATATAATGAGGAATTCTTCAATTTAATTCCATATTTACCATAAAGGGAAAAATAGTCATAATACTAAGTGGGTTTCTTATTGATTGATATTCATGACATTCAGGTCGAATGAAGGTTCCTCACGTAAGCAGCCTTGGCTTGATTGGAAATTAACTTATTATTTAGACGGAGGAAGGTGGCATGTGTAATGGTCGTGATGGAGTACTTGAAAATTTATATATGTGATTTGTTGGTGACTTCTTGA